TGGATCCATATTCAATGCTTGAACGAACAAGTAAACAATATAAGGTCATCTGACAAATAATATTGTTGAAATCACAGCACTGCTGTCTAATAAATCCTAGCATATTCATGGCTTTAGAATAGATATAGAATATATGTTTGTTAAATGAGAGGTCATTAGAAAATATGATGCCAAATTCTTTAATAGAAGAAACTGACTTATTAAATGATTCCGAAAATTGTTTTTAATTCACCTAAAATAACAATGATTCATATTTTAGGCGAATATGCATCAAATATTTAATATATTTAAATTTATTTTCGTCCGTTTTTATCTATGATATATGAATATTAATTAAAAATTTGTTTTGAATTCATGTTTATTTTGTCATTTTTTGATGCAATAACCTTAAAACAATATACAACGAATTTTAATCAATGTATAGTTTATATTGCTAATATATATTTTGATAAAATAAACATTTTATTTTATTTAAATTGCAATTTATATTATGTACATATTATAACTCTATATATATAACTAATTTTATATAATTAAAGAAAATAAAAGTAAAGTAAAGTAAAATGTAAAAGTTAAATAATATATTATTATTACTTAGTACCATTATGTGAAACGTCATGTATTATGAAGTTTCTTTCTCGATGACCATAGTTTATGGATGAGTTTATGTTATTTATACGTATAATATCATAATATCATATCATTCATATCTACTACACAATACACATGTTTGTATTTTTAAATAACTTTATCACAATCCTTTGATCTACATTAAATTTTAACATTTTATACAATTTTATAACAAACAATTTATATAGGTATATTTTATAAACCAGTAATTTAATGTCTATGTATTAAATATTATAGGTAATAATATATAATATATACAGAGATTTCGCATACTAGGGTTAACAATTATATGTATATATGATATTTGTACGAATATTACCTAGTTTATAAAGTTATCCCTAATATTAAGATATGATTAAATATATAATTTTTTTTTATTTTAAATCTTGAAAATTAGATTAAATATTATCCAATACGTTTTTACTGTTAAAAATATATTATAGTAAAATCAGAAGTCTTCCAGATCCATGAAGTATGAATCATAACAACGACAAATTTTAAATTCACGTTTATCTATTTTACTATACTATATTGAAGATGTAAGTGAATTAACCTATTATATAATTTAAAGATAATATTATTTTCTAAAGAATTTCAGAAGCCTTTATTGATATCTTAATTTCAAAGCAAGTTATATGAACATAATAAAACTATAATTTTTTTTTGTAATTTTGAAATGATCAAAATTTTAGAATATTCTTATTATTAAATGCATGTTTTTTCTCCATATTACGTACATACAAGTATATACAGCATAGAACATTTTCGTTCAAAAGAATCCATAATTTTTAGCTTTAATATTAGAGTGAATTTATCTATTTTTAAAGTTAAAGGTCATATTATACTAATAGTTAATAGTACTATGTCATGTATTAATATTTATTAGTATTATGATATTTAGTAATAGTTATTAATATTATTATAACATTATATTTCATACAACCTAACGTCTTGCACATCAATACCACATACGGAAGATCTATGTGAATAGTTTGACGGTAAAAATATTGTGTAAAATTACTCTAAATATTTTGAAAACTACATTTGAATAAAAAATAAGAATTTACGTTATGACGATAAGTTTTAAGTCCCCGTGATGTATCAATATTTTATAAATTAAAACATAATATCAAGATTGTTTGATAGAATATCTTTTAATTCGTTTCAATATCTAATTTTGCAGAAGAAAAAATGAACTAATGTTTATAAAAATAAGATTTGACTGTATATTTTTGATATTTTTGAATTGTTGTAAGGATAAATTATTGAGAACATCTGTATTTTATTATTTTCGAGCTGTTTTGCTTAAAAATATATTGGTTATAAATATTCCCGTTTTTCCATATTTTTCCTCTCATAACTACCAACTAGATTCAATTTTTTACCAGAAACTACCCTTAAAGTTTAAAATTGAAGTATTTTTTATTACTTCAAGAATCTGGAAGTAATGACTAATAAAAAAAAAACACTCATAAGATTTTGTAAAACCAATACATTCGTTCCTTCGCTTAAAATATAAAATCAATGAAGTCACAAAAAAACCGATCAATTTATTCTATAATAAAAATAAAACTTCACCACGTCAATAATATTTTTACCTAATCAATATGGCTTATGAGAATGAGCGTATACCTTTTCCACGATCTACAGCAACTATATTATGTATTATTTATACTATTGTTACTATTATTATTAATTCTGTTATTGTAATGTAATATAAAATGTTTTCGAGACGATTCGTTTGCCTTGACAAAGAAAAGAGTATATGTAATGAACAGTAAAGGCAAAATATACCACTTTTAGGGTGAATGATTGGCATTCGGGCATGGCAGTCGACAAGGAGTATGGCTTTCGCTTGTCGCGGAAAAGACTGCTGCAGAGTACTGAGGTGGATTGATCCGGGGCTACTGCGCTAGTGATATAATATGTACAATAGTCGTCTCTACGAACTATTCTTCACCACTCTCCGTTTATTATTACATTATTATTATTATTACAATTGCGAATCCCGTGACGTTTTTAAACTTCGTCTTTTTTTTCACCCTTCATCAACATCACTACCTACCAATATCACCTTCTCCACTTCCACGACGGACATGTTATACTACGTCTTTTAGGTCTTTTATACCTCTTTTGTTCGCTTGACGATGGTGGGGAAAAATATGAACAGATTCTTACCAAAGAAATATCTAGTGCACATTTACGTACGAATACGTACATATACGTCGTGGGACGCGAATATAAGCATTTCATGAATTATCACTGAGAGAAATATAAAATGTAATCCGATTACTCACATGGTAGTCTTTTCTTTTTTATGATATAATGTTTAATCAGTTTAGAAGCTGGTTAATTTTTCAGCTGTGATAGAATTCCTCATTATCCCAGTTTTTGGTCCAAGCTTCGAATAGCAATAATGTAGTATTATTACCATGTTAAGTGAATACTATATACCTAGTTAATAATAATATTCAACGAGAGAGCATCTATATAAATGTCTTTGTAATAAATACATTTAAAAAAATGTTCAATGCTATAAATTATTATTGTTATTAATTAATTTGAGTATCTGCTGAATCGTATAATTACTCTAAGTATGTGATGTTTATACTTACACTCGTCACAATTTAACATCTTAGCTGCTCATTCGTAATTTGTTCAGAATTTTGAAAACTGCAAAGATAGTTGATATTAAAACGTAATCATAACAATTAAACAAATTTCTCATTTTAATGTAACTTCTTAGTAAAAATACTGAAATCTGAGAACCTATATGAATATTACTATCTTAATTTCTTTCCAAAACGTTCAGTGTAATTCAGGTAAATATAACAATTAATACCCAATATGATTTAATAATCACTGTATTTGATAAATTTTATTTTTTAAATTTAGAATTCTGGGAATAGATTCAAGATAAAAGCTTCAAATCATCAAAAGAAAAATATAAATAAAATATTTATGATAAAAAAATGATTTTTTTTTTTCATAATTATGCTTTAAAATATATCGTTTTTATAAAATAATAAATGCATATTATACTGCATATTTGCATTTTTTTAATGCATAATATGTATGCACATAGTTCATTGTTTTTAATGCATAAAGTTCCGAGCCCTGCACATTAGTTATAAAGCTTACAACTTTTAAACAGTGCCGTATTCTGACTGTGCACGAGCAATACTAATATTATATTAAAACACGAAACATAAGAATGTGTTTCAAACTGTTCCAATACAGTTTTAAAAAAATAAAATTAATGCATATATAAATGTTTATTATACCTATTGAGATGTCGCTTAAACTGTATAAACCATAATGTGCCTGTGTAAAAAATATAGTACCTATATGAAATATATTGTCACGACTATTAATAATTAATAATTTAATACATCATAACCTATAGTTATTTATGAATCTTAATGATTTACGAAATTTTCAAAATTATAACCATATTATATTTTTTACGCATACAAGAAATACTGTTTTTATATTTTGTTTAATTATATAAAATTATTTCAAATAGATTTTTGTAGTCGATTCGATGTATGAGATTATTGCAGAATACAAGAAATCATTTATTATAAATATTGTTTAGTATATACGTATATATAGCTTACATAATCAATCTTACGATAAGGTGACGAGCATTGTACAGAAAAACTGAGTTCAGTCATATTTATAATACCTAGTTCAATGTCATAAGTAATATAAAAGATCCCGTGTCACATAGTATACCGCCAATGATATCTATCGAAAGTCACGATGGTCGGGGCGTCAACTCTTTTAAATGTTTCGACCACATTACAACAACGGATTCATTTGAGCTCTATCGTGCGTATTATATTTATGTATAAAAAGGTACTAAACTTTTAAAATTGTATACGCTGAATAATATGAATTTGAAAAGGTGAAACAAAAATGTAAAAACATGCACGCTAGCAAATTTATCATAGAAATGTTTAACGTACAGTTTGTATTAGATATTAAATTTAGTTAAGAAATTACTATCATCAAACAACTTCAAGTTAAAGTGTATAAATACATTTACGTGATTCTATGAGTAGATTTTAGTCAAATGGGTATTTAATAAATAATTTTGTCAAAAATATTATATTTTAATACTTTGTAATTTGAACTATATAATATAACAATAATGTTAAAAATTAAAAACGAACCAATAAAAAAAATAGAAAAATCTATTTGATTTGTATAAATAATGAAAACAAATTGATTCATAATGAATAGGAGTAGGAAAGTAACATGATAATATCTGAATCATTTAAACATACTATAAATACCTAAAAGTATATACGCAATAAGCAAATAAGCATCATATTGTATTTAATTGGTTTAATCTCTTCTTTTAGGTAAACTTCGGCGAGGTGTTCATACCAATCACACTGGATCCACCCAAACCACGAATTTTACCAGAGTTTAAACGTTTCGCTCACAGCTTACGGTCGGGCAATATCAGTATTCTAGACGCACGAACATTTTACATACCAAATTTACACTATGACGGCTTGGGGCCGGACGCATATTTTTTCGTCGGAAACGGTTCGGAGCCATCACCCTACGGCGTCAAAGTACCAAACGAAGTCGGGAGGTAATATACCATATCATTTCGACGATAGTATAACACAATACTTATATTATATTAAATAACAAGAAAATTATATCCGATATCGACGAACGATTATTCCTACGTGTTTGTATAAGTAAAAATCATGTGGCCTTATATAACTTTAATTTCGCGTAGACCGTGTTTTTTAAACAACCTGATGGAAATCGTGATTATCCAGTCGTTTTGCGTCCCGATTGAGGGCGTTCAGTAGTTCCTTAGCGGCTCCAGACAACTCGGGCTCGCGACAGACGTCTTCGTATCCCGTGGATAAAAGCATTCGTTCCGAAAGGCTGGTGGTTAGTTGACTCGGCATACGGTCGTGAGGTCTCGGACCAGCGGCCGGACTTGCGGATACGATGCACTCTGACACCTTGTCGCACAGCGACTCACCAAAATTTACGATAAAACAACTGTCTCCGCAATAATAAAGCAGTTCCTGCCGTAACATTTTTATGTTAAATCGATAAAATAATAATTATAAAATTATCATCATCGGGGCTCCATATACTTTTTTTTTAGTAGATACAAAAACTCAATTCAGTCAAAATTATCACTGTAAATATTATAGTACCTAATATACAAATAATAGTACTTATACTAAAATCTGTTGTTCGCGTTTTTCATTATAATTTGAGATTTTGAGTATATTATTTATTTATATTTTTAATGTAATATATTTATTATGCATATTTAAAATTTTTTAAACCCATTAATTGAAAGCCCTAACAATAATTATTATTAATATTTTAACATGGCTATTTAATAAATATTGAACAAATGTTTAAATATAGAGAGAAACAATCACCTTAAAGTTTAAACATATATTATACAGTCACGGCATGGTAAAATAATATTTATTAATATATTGATTATAAGCTCACTTTTAAACGTTTGCAGTACGTTTGGAACTTGCATAGAAATTTTTCCGAATTAAACGGATATCGACTTAGATGTTCGAATTTCAACGTACCCGTCTTTAGCCCGTCGACCGCTTGACTTAGACTCATAATGGTCCCCGTGTTTTTGACCAAACATCTGTTTTTGAAACGATTATATATTTCTGGAAAACTGATCGCTAAAAATACGACTCTGCAAGTTAAAGAAAACGTTTCAACAATCGTAATTTCATTAATTATTAAGGACTAAAAACTCAATACATTTTTTATGTAAATATAATATTTGAGTGCATCATTAAAACAACCAAGCTTTTTTTTATTATTAGAAAATTTACAATCTGTATTAACAAAAACCCAATAAGTTAATGTGATAATGTGAACAAAACAATATAATACAATGACAGAATGGCATGATAAGGGTGACCATCCAATGATAGAACCCTTCAGATTTAAATTAAATTTTTTTTTAAGCTATATAACCTTATTTTGATAATCGTGAAATAAATTATATTTTATTTACTTTGGATAATTCTATCCTTTCCCCCAAAAAAATAAAATAAATGACTAGCTATATAACCATATTTTTTTTTTTTTTTTAAAACACAAAGATTAAATTTAAAACATTTCATTTGTTATTAAAATAACCACTCTATACAATATCATACCGATTTGGAGCTATTTCAGTAGAATCTAACCATTCAAAATCAGCTCTCGTACGCGGGAAACCCTTTATTACGTAACCATTTTCCAAACAATTGTCTTCGGTTAGTTTTTCCTAAAAAAAAATAAGTATTAATATAATTTTTATCGTTTTAAAATGTACGTATATAATATACTTTTAACCATGAGTTTGCCGTTTCTTCAGCGATTTTTCTGCTACTGGTGATAGCTTTTTGATTCAACATTTGTTCAAAATCCACTGTACACCACACGATGAATGATAGATGAATGATAATAGTATATTATATATAATTATTATTTATTAATAATATCATAAAATGAGTAGCATAAAGTAGGTACCAGGGAAGTCATCTGACCAACTTATTATTTTTTCCCTATCCACCATCAAACTTACCGTTAACTAAATTGAATCTCTTGGATAGAGCACTGGCAACTAAAAAACGCCCAGACCCTTCAGGGCCGATAATTGTCACTCTAGGCACAAACGGAACGTCAGATGGTTTTTGACATACTATTTTATCCAAACACAATTCTGTTATTTCGTCGATTGTTTTACCCTGCACATTGATTTCCTACCAAATTAGATAATTTAATATCAATACAATATAGACGTAATACTGGCATAAGTAAATGCTTAATTAATTAGCATGTAAAATGTACAGTGTTTAATGCAAAGATAAGAAAACCAATAATACATTTTACCAATTTGATTTTAAACAATTTTTAATATTTTCAATATTTTACATTACTTCCTTTTGTTTTTAAAGTTATCACAAGACATAATAAGAATACTTTTTAACTTCATACTCTAGAAAATATAACCTCAAGAAACTATTATTGTGTTTTACTACTATTGAAAAAAAGAGATTATAATTAAACGCTTCTAGACAAAATGTATCGGCTTTTTATACTCAATACGATATACCTCGGTACATACGATTTATAATAATATAATAATACAATAATCTAACTTTTAACGTGAATTGAAATTTCATCTTAATATCAAATTCTAAGTTTTTGGAAATCAGATTAAACTTGTCAATTTTTATTTGAGTATCGCATAAAACTGAAAAAAATTATATCTAATTTTGAAAATAATAATACAACAAAAAAAACAGTTGACAGCATACTAATTTAATATTTTATTTCATCATAAACGATTTCAACAGTAAAACTTAACTGTCTTACCTACTGGTTTATTTAGCACGATTGTATGTGTTGGTAAAATACCAAGACTTATCATCATGTCTGCTTCTTTATTACTATTTGGGATGTCTGTAAACACAAATAATAGCCAAAATCTCAAATATTATGCCAATATTTTAAAATTTTAAGATTTGTTTATATTATTTTACCCAAAAGTATCCATCCTTTTTTCAAAGCCCCTTTCGCTTTCATATACTCCATTAACATAGTCATAAAATCCACCGAATCACATCCGTTATCATCGTCTCTCTAAATTACATGTGAATAATGCACATGGAATAATTTATTATTATAATAAGGTATTAAAACTGTGAATTTATAGTGAACGTGATTTCAAAACGTTTGAATCAGTAATATTGTTTATATAACTACTAAAATATTAAATATTTTTTAATCACGTATTTTTCTTTGGATATTGTAGGTTTTATTAATTAAAATAAACTACCTACTGTATTGATATTGTGATGTTTAAAATGCGATTAAAAATTAAAATTTTATTAAAATACTCTTTTTTTACTGTTATTTGTATTTCATTTAAATTAAAAAGTTATGGATAAGGTAAACGACTTTTAAAACTTAAAACCCTATATTCAATTATAAAATATATTTATTTTCTAATCGATAATTTTTTTCGTAAAATTATCAAGTACTGCGGATAATATGTTATTTTATACTAAACATTTTTACTATATTTTGTAGTATTTTTTAATATTGCTTTATTTTTCATTTTTTCAATTTATTTTTTCCAATGCACGTACCTACGTTTAAAATTAATATTTCTATTCTATAATTTTAACAAGTACATTCTAGAAAATATACATAAAACACACACACGTAAGCATAAAACATAATAAGAAATTAGGAAAATATATACAAAAATATTCTAATGGATACACATAAACGTTATACAACTAAGTTCAATATATCGTGTGCGTACGAACTCGTTTTTTCCGGTATCTGCGTAGTACGTTCCGTCGATCGATGGTTACCACTCCGGTGCTTTTGGCTATGTTGAGTGCAACGTACACTTTATCTAAACAAAATCGATGAGTAGTCAATGTTTACACAAAATTGCGGCTCACGATATACATAAGCTCTACCCTAACTCCTAATGGGTATGGTCGATGCGGATGAGTATAATCTGTAAAGGGAGATTTCACTAGTATATACCTGTATCCGATCTGTGATCAAGGGGAGCGACCAATAGGATTTTCAGTACGTCCACGTGACGCCGAAATTTCAAATACCACGCGACAAACCGTAAAGGGTCCGGTGGCTGGAACATGATGAGTGATTTAACCATATTCTACGAACGAAAAAAAAAATTGTCAACGTAAATTTTTTTCCGATACTATAATACTATTATTAATATACATATACATCAGTCTCCTATGCTAGGAAATATTTTAAACCACTCAAAAATAAAAAAAACAATTTACTTAAATATAATTATTTAAGTATATATTTAAATTCTAATTCAATTGAGCATCAATTTAAGTTTTTTCTGATTAAAAAATCTTAAAAATTTTAAATTAATATGAGTTTTTGAAATTAGAATAATTAAATTTTTGACATCATGATATTAATTTATTTACATAGCCATAAAGCGAAAGTTTTTTTTTTGGAATTTCTAAGGAGCGTATTATAGTACGTATTTTACACATATCTAAATACCTGATCCGTGTAAACGTACTTTAAACATTTCGTATATCCTGTGTTTCTCCAAATAACACATCTGTCTAGCTTTTATCATTTTCAAAACTCATGTATTAGTGGTGGACAACTACGAAAAATTAATACGTTAATTGTGTTTTTTCTTCCTCCTACGAGTAATGTACATAACATATAAATAAATTAATATATTTATCGTACATGGCAACCGCTCTTTTGCATTGTACAACATATGATTATTTTACCATAAACCATAATATTAAAGGAAATTCAAAGCTTTGTAATTAATTTATATTTGTATGGTATTTATCTATGTTTATTAATATTTGTTCTTAAACTTGTAAACATTTAAAAAATTGTTGTATTTTCTAAAACATTGCTTGTTTTACAATAAATTAATTTCCCTGTTAATATTATTATTGTACATACCACAGACGTATCATACAGCTACACTTCTTGCGAATGGTCACAATCTTTTATGTTATAACAATTGTTATCGGGTATCTTAGAATAAAATTAATATTATACTCGTATATTCTAACTATATAACATTACTAGCTGAATTACTCGGCTTCGCCCGTGTGTAGCTTGTGCTTTCTCAAAATAACTGAAATGACGAATAAAATTAAAATGTGAATAATAGATCACTCATAGGAATAAATGGTACAACCATGTGAAAAAAATGTATACACTGAACACTGAATAATTTACGATAAAAAAGAAGAAACGTTCTTATTAAAAAACACAAGTTTGTATTCCCACAAAACACTCCTTAAGTAGTAAGTACAAACAATACCAAGAATTTTTTTAGGTAGATATTTGAATGTATTTAAAATTTATATAAATCTGAAAATCTTAATAAATTCATTATTAAATTTAAAAAATTAGGGCGAGTATAATTTGGTGGACCATCCCGTATTCCAATGTACCATGGCTGCGTGCAATACGCCCTCGAACATATTACCAATTATTATCATTATTATTATTATTATTATTATTATTATTATTACTACTACCCTAGTGCAACAGAAACAATGACGTCTTTTGATCGCACGTTTTTATGTAATGTGTATTATATTTTATTTTTATTTTCAGCTTGGAACCGCTAAAGGGCTACCAGGGGGAAGACATAGAAATCCAATTACCCAGAAGCCTGACGATGCACTCGATCGATTGGCTGGCCGTCTGGTGCGTGCAATATACGCACAATTTCGGCCACGTTAACGTCCCGGACGACTTGGACGTGCCACCGGCGTTGGGGCAGACTAAGCTCACCGTGAGTAGTAGATTTAACGGCGGTGGCGGACGGAGCTCGGGTAGGCCGACGACTGTTGGGCCGACAAAAAAACCTAGGCGCCATCAGTCGTGGCCGCCACCGCCACGAAATCTTATTGGATCTTACCGGCAGGCCGGACATGAAGTCTTGGCTCCGGTACCGTGGTACCAAAGCGATTATTATTATCGTATTTCATGACATAGTATATAGTATCATCATAGTTGTACACCCCCCTCCCACACACACACAAGTATATACGTACCATTGTACCAAGCGTATGTCGTTATTATATTATTTCGTTTCCGTTAAGCACACGTGTATAATATATTATTATGTTGATTAAATATTGTTTTTTTTTTTATATATTTTAATTGATTTTGTTATTAAGTTTTATTTTATATTTTGTAATACAACAGCGTATCTTTGATTAATAAAATATTATTTGTGGGTTTTTTTTTTTTTTTTACTTTTGTTTTTAAGAGAAGTTTGATTTTGAGTCGTCATTGACAATTTTTTTGTAGTGGAGGGAGTAGTATATAATAATGGAATATTTTTCCAGTATAAAAATACATGTTTTTAAATAATGCTGAATTTTCAAGAAGATTGCATTGGTTAAGAACTTTTTATTTGCACATAATAACGTTTTCGGTTATTATTTTTCCATTTATTTTATACTTTCAATTTAATTTGAAATTTTTGTGTTTACATTTCCGTAAAAGTATACATTTTTACATTTAATTAATTTAATATTAATATTAAACTTTATATTAGTTTTATAAAAAATTCTGAGTAGTTAAATTTTTTTTTTTTTTTACCTACAATCAAGCGTAACTAAATTACAGTTGACCATTTACATTTTTAAATACCTACCTTAAAAAATTAGAATATTCAAAGAGAACACTTTATTAATTGAATCTTTAAAATTATAAATAATATTTTCTCAAAACAACTTATAGCATTAAGTTAGAAGAAATATCCTATATTTTTATTTGTATTTAAAGTCAAATAAAAATACAAAGAAACATAATATATTAAATTTGTGATAAAGGTTTCAATCTATTTTATAAAAGGATTACAAAACACAATCATAATATATTTTAACTTTGTATAAATTTAAACATTTAAATTTTGTTTAAGAAATACCTATATATTCTCTTTGTGTATATAGAAGACTATTAACCTAAGTTTTGTTTATTGGCACAAAATTGTTTTTAAGCTGTGTTAGAGAGTTGATTTAACAAAAAAGTCTTCTGTATTAAACTAATAATACAACTTTTTTTTATTAAATCATACATTTATTATAATTTTTATAGTTATTGACTTATATATATTTATTTTGTGCTGCAATTCGGATTTAAAGCCAACATGGTGGTACAATCCAGTAAGTAAACATTTTAATGATATTTTTAGTTTTAATTTAGCTCATATAATAATTATATAATATCTACATAGTCTAAATTCTAAGAAATATCAATTCTTGAGCCCTACTCAACCCAGAACAAATTTAATTGATTTTTATATCCAAATTTGGATTCAATGAGTTACCTTTAACTTGAATTCTATTTTTTTTTTACAATATATAATTTATGATTGATCTCGTATTATACATTTTAAATTAAACTTGAAACAAAAATAAGGTACTATATAGAAATCAATAAAAAACAAACAAACAAATAAACAATTAATTTTTATACTACTTTAGACTAGCAGTACTACTTCAGATCCCGAAGGGCATTGGGAGATGAGCAATTGTCGAGAACTATTACCAGGTAAACTACAAGTGCATTGGGAGGTGCAAGGTGATTGGGTCCAAGTGCAGTTGACCGGGAAGATACGCGAAAACCAATATATGGCCTTTGGTCTCAGTGGTAACCAAAATAGGTAAGTTTCTACTGCCTCATAAATTATAAACGCTAAAAACGTTACGACGTATTCTTTATAAAATGCCATATCAATGTTTTAATGTGTAGTAGTAAAATAGTATATTTACTCCAAAAAAATAACATCATTTTATTTAAAAAGAACCAGTGAGGTTGAGTTGACACTTAATATTATAACACCTAACAAAATATTGAAAAATAATAAAATAAAAGTATGTTATATGCTTTTTTTGATCCATATTAAATACTAGAAAAATGATTGGTGAGATGTCATTATAAAAATCTAAATAATATTATTCATTTAACCTTGATTAGCGTGACAATGCTCGGTGGTGACGTGGTGGTGGTGTTCTACAATCGGGCAAAGAATTCGTTCCACGCCGAAGACTATTACCTGTCTGCAAAAACCGAGTGCGATGACAAGAATGGCGTGTGCCAAGACGAACGGCTAGGCGGCCGGAACGATGCGGTCCTAGTGACGGGCACTCGGCGTAACGGTGTTACGTGCGTCGTGTATCGGCGGCCGGTTCAGACCAACGAGGCCATCAACGATCATCAAGTGCCTGTGGATGCGGCCGCAATGGTCATAGCAGCCATAGGTCCTCTGGGAGGTTCTGACCAGCCCGGCGCGCATGCTATTCAGGACATTACCAGAGGTTAGGTTCTAATATTGTAGAAACGATGGCTAAAGTATTTATCTTTTCCTAAAAACTATCTGTATTTTTGTTTTTGTTTTATCATATTATTTTTAAAACGTACTACCAAAAACTATATTCGAAGTTTAAAATCAAAATATTTTTACTGCTTTAAAAGGTAATGACAGTTACAAAAGAAATACGTGTCAATGTGAAATCAACATAAATACATCGCTCTGCTCAAAACTTCAAAATTGAACACCATAAATGCTGTCATGGCTATCAGATTATATTATAATATCTATATAATTTATCACATCATCAAATACATATATTTTATGAGTTCGGGGAGTATGAAGGGAAATTGCAAATGACCAGTGAAATGTTATGAATATGTTTTAAGGGAGGGGGTCTTACAAGAAAATAACGATTCTTTAAATAAAGTATTCAAACCAATTCAACATACCCATACATATAGGTGTAGTAGGTATACGTTATTGGATATTTCAATAAGTGCTGTTTATCCTATTATACGTTTATTGTTTATACACAAATATAGATTTAACGTGTTTGTATCAAAACTCCATTTGATTCGAAATGCTTGAGAACAATTTCAAGAAAGGAAAACCAATCGGCACTTATCACTCCATGCCAAAACTTTCTTGAAAAAGCATAAACACAAACACATGTGTCACAATAATTGAGTTCACACGTATTTTTTTATAACACTGTCAATTATTATTGTATATTTGACTTTGGGCTCTACAAACTCGCATTATTATAGTACTTTTATAGTCGGAGACACGAAAAGTGGCGTGTGACAGCCACGATCCTAACGGTAAAATTGTCTAATGGGTTCTCAAAACTCTAAAATCAATTAGCTCATTTAAAAATGCTCATTTTAAAATACGCGCAAAAAGAACGCCGCAAATTGAGAACCTTGTTTGCAGACAGGGTGAGGGTCGGTGTACAACAAAGGTCATATGTCAGGTTTTTGTATCCCCGGCTATAATATACATACTCAGGTACTGTATGAATGAGTATATAGTTAAAATATTATATTATTATAAATGTATAATTACTAATTTACATGCATACATAATATAATAAATTATCATAATCATTTTTCCGCATGGCAGCTGTTTGGAATTTTTTTTGTCTTTATGAATACAACTTTTATAATGTTCACCCATTAATTTACCTAAACAATAAAATTTTAATTAGTTGGGTTAAATTAATCTTCATAACCATCACCGTATTGATCTTTTATCGTGGAACACACACACACTTAAGTAAAAAATTTATTTATTTTTTAAACTATTAATTTAAAATTAAGCTAAGCATGTTTGTTTTCGTCTATAATATGTTACTTAATATTATGTTAAGTATTATGATAAAAAATAACCGATTAACTAGTAAATATAACAAACGATGAATTATTATTATTTTATTCTTAAAACTGAAAATAATTAAATTAATAACATACAATGTATAAAATGGTTATATTAATTACAATCAACGTTCGTTATTAAAATTATACTATAATAAAGCAATATTTTTTTATAATACTGCATTAATCCTATAACACGTTTATTAATTATACAATAACTGATAAAACGGAGAAATGACCAGACAATTTAGTTACATCTCTACAGAAAATTTTCTAATATTTAATTTTATTAATATTAAAGTAAGTTATAATCAACTTTTCTACCTTACTACGTTTAAAGATTTTAATTTACAAGTAATTAATATAATTATTGTTGCATTAATATAATTTGGTAAACATAATAACCAAAACGATACTTATAAAGAAAATATTATATATTGCACCAAATCAACTGTCGGAAATTGAGAGATATGACTTAAAAGTATTTCAAGCCTATATTAAGCATTATAGGTATTCACATTTTATATTTTATAATTTTTAAATGGGAAGTCGTTTACAAATTTTAGTAATTTCAAATATTAATTCATCAAAAAAAAAAAATGTACGTATTTATGTATTTTAAGTTATTAGTCTCTTCTTTTAGCCCCTCCCTCCTCCAAAAAAAAAGTCTTACCCGATTTACCACCTATGACATAATAATCTTCACAGATGAAATAAGAATAAATTTCAACTCCAGAGACGATCACTCGTGTACATATTCCCTGTTCAATATTGACGATGACATGGAGCGGTCCGCGTGGCCTCCAAACATCATCATTGGAGAGAAAGAGTTTAGAGCTAAGCTTGGGCCATCAGGTGGTACTCGTGGTTACATGGCTATAACAGGTAAGAACAAAATATAACTTAATATTTATGAATGCAGTTAAATAAATCTAAGTACTCATTATAATACACGAAATTCGCTTATTTTATAATATGGTTTATGAACTGACGTAGTTAAAATAATTTGGTATAAGTTTGTATGCTGCCGATATATTTCATCTGAAACGGCAGGTAAACAATAAAAATAACTATTTATTTTATTTATTAACAAAATATTCAATTATTTAAAGATTTAATACATTTAAAAAAAATTAACTGGCATAATATAACTATCATACTTTTAATATATTTAATCTATTTTATCTATGTTTTATATTTTATATAACATCATGCCGGTATAAAGCATTATAATTTATTATAGCTAAAACTGTTTATATCATTTTTAATAACGTATGAGTAAACTGTATAACTAGTATAAAAATACATTTTTAACATATTCATTTGTGTGATTTTGACAAGATATAAAATATATGTCTAAAATTGTAACCATAATTATAATAAGTAATAACTATTTCATTTTCTATAATCAATGGCGAACATAAAATATAAACAAAAATATTCGTTTTTAGTGAATTAAAAAGTCACAATGTGGTCCCCTCTTTAAAATACAGAATTAAAAATTTTAGGGCACAGTCTTGGACATAGAATTACTTATATACCACAAATGACCACCATGAGTGCGATAAATATGACTGTGAATCACTTACATGCACACATACACGCTTTACACAAACATTCTATTTAAATTTTAATTGATATTATATACGTATATAATTAATATATTTATTATACATATTATCGGTATGTGATGCGTATTTTTATTTTTAAAGGTTTATTTATGAAGTAAATATATTACTATATCAAAAATTAAAAACTGATTAAAAACTATTTTTAAATTAGGGCATTCCACCGGCGACATCGTCTGGTATATAAATGACAAACTTATACCAGAAATCTTTGTAGAGAGGAGACAGACATACACGTTCATCGTCGAAGGAGGTAATTTAAATACAGTAATATTTTATTATATATGTGTACACCTTTACAATATACACGTATAATCATTTTTTGTATAAACTATTCAAATTTTTGCTTAAAATTAACGAGATCGATTAAAATGTTAATATCTAATGAATGTAATTAACAATTCTGAAGGAAATGACCCTAATAAAGGCGAACATTACCATCCGCTTTATATCACGGACAGCAGTGAAGGAGGGTTTGGACAGAAAGATGACGCGGAACAGAGGAAACAACGTGTTTTTGCTGGCATCGTCTACGACTCTGACGGCTTACCTTTTCCTACTACAGGTATTTCAAACATTTTTATCATAATGTGAAACTTTTTTAATATTAATACTAAAATATTAATACTAAAAAATATTTATTTTTCACACTTTTGCAATTTAATTTGTGTAGGTACTATTAGGATACGAGATACCACCAAATTTACTTCAAAGTATTTAAAATTGCTTCAAGTTCTTATAAAAATGTATTTTTTTAATAGATATCGCCATAATTTAATTAATATAAAAAGGCTTGAATGTTAACACGCTTTCAATAACATGATAATCGTTTATTATTGTTTATTCGTATTTAAAAACATTTATATTCTAAGCTGGAACAATTTACAGAAACAAATACCAAAAAAAAATCATACGTTATTATATAATCAATACATTCTACTCAGAAACTAAAATGAAATTTGAATCCTGGGATTATTTATTATATAATCGAAAAAAAAAACTAGAAAAATCGCTCTGCTGTATAGTAGTTTTCAATATCAAGTGACTGAAATGGATAAATTAAATTTGAAATCAATGATTTATCATTACCTAGTCATTACATACAATAAAATATTTTGAGTAGAAATCATTTATCTATTATTAAAAATATCTTTGTAATCAATTAAGTTTTATTGATAATTTTTTTTTTTAATATCACAATATTTAGAACTCATTTTTTTTCAAAACGTAGCATATTATATTATTACAATATAGTAATTATTAATTTATAATACTATATTTGTATCATGACTAATACATTTTCTTCGTATTATGAAATAACAATAAAAAAAACCATGAGTAAAATATTATCAGAATATTTTTGTTAACAAATAACTTTTGACTTGAAGTTTAACTGATTATTAAAAATTACTATACCTATATTAATATCCAAGATATTTCAGCTCTTCTTTCAATTTGTATTCGTTTTATGTAAAACACAAATTTTGTTTTTATATACAAATACTTGAAATGTAATATAAGATATTTTATAAGTGGTAATTTTTCATACACCAATAATACATCAAAAATATTAGAAATACATTATCACAATATTTTTTTTATACACATTTAAAGCTAATTTTTTTAGAAACTTATCGAAAATACCATAATAATTAAGTTATTTTTTAATATAAAATTCGTACAACTTTGAATATTCACACCTTTAATTTGAAAATTGAATACAAATAACTTTTTATGTTTTTCTTACAGTTATAAAAAATTTTAAGCGCGATTCCACAAATACCTTTTTATAAATATTAAAAATTTAGATTTAACGATATTGAATATTCATGCGTAAATTAACGATTTTTAATTGTGCCGCTTTAAATGTTTTGTTGTAACTTAAAAAGTATTAATTCTAAAAACTCGAAAAATTTCATTGTTAATTTAATTATCACATCTATACTCAATAAATTTTGATTAATTTTAAGCTATTACAATTTCATATTTATAACACATATAGTCACATCATTCTATAATTCCACTATGACAGTGTGTCACGTAATCAAATTAATCAATCTTCATCAGACCACAACGTGTTTTCTCGGTTCTCAATAGACAGAATACGCGCAGTTTATTGTACGTATTTCAAAACGATTACCTAAAATCCCATTTTTTATTTTATTTATACATGATATAATTTTTTTTATGTTTAATAAAGCTTTAAAATATAGTACAAGATTCCGTCATTTTTTTTTACTCAAATTTAAATTTAAATGTTTACTACATTGTTTATATTTTTATTTTGGTATTATTTGATATTCAAACATTTGTAGAATTTTTTTCATAGACATTTTAAGTTAAATTTGGTGATTAATAATTGTTTATTAATTATTATACAATGACTCATTATAATTATTATTTATAGTTTTTATTCTGTTATACTTATATGAACCATCGTATCATAAATAATTATTAATCACTTAACATCTAACCACCCACCTATCAAATTCTATAGAAATTAGAACTTAAATTTAAATGTCTATAAAAAGTATATACAATAATTTTTTGACACTTTTATAATTTTATAAGACCAATTTCTATTTGATTTTCAAACTTTAGAATTTAGATATTAAAATTTAAAATGTTCTACATTTTTAATTATTAAATTATTTCGTAAATTTGTATGAAAATGTTTTATATTGTTACGTTTTAGCCGGCCGATATTGTGAATTTAAATTCAAGTCTTACGATCGTTCATCAGAAATGGAAACCTTCGATGCCTTTTTTGACTCTTTGAAATTATCATGCGAAAATGGTAACATAGGCATACTGAATTGGACAGTCGCTGAAGAAACACCAGATCTAGTCTATTACCAGGTAAAATTATTATTCATCGTTTAAGGTTACGATTATAAAATTTAATTTAAATTTTAAAAATTTTCAAAGATTAGTTTTGTTTTAATTTTAACACTGTCTTAATCAGAATTTTAACTTTACTTATGACAATATCGCTTTAATACTGTATTTATTATTACAATTAACATACTGGAATCCATACAGAATCTATAAAAAGAATATTTATAATAAAGAAAGATGATAGATTCATTATTTTAATAATAATAAATCATATAAATCTAATTACTAATACATTTTAAAACAAATATACACAATATTTTATACAATATTATAATCTTAAAAATAATTATCAAAAATAGATCATAGGAATTATAGAAAATAAAAAAAAAATAATCTAAAAAAGTCTAATAACCTATAATGCAAATTACCTATTATTTATTCAATTATTAGCCTAACATAGTCCTAATTAAATAATAATATGATTCGTCACATTATATTTGATTATTGCCAGTAGTAAATTAATATCCAGCTTTTTACCCAATGTATATAATATTATTGTTTTTTGTATTATGGTTGTCAGGTTGTGCTAGAACTATTCCAAAAACAATTATTTTTATTAAAAATTAAATTAAATTCAAGGATTTAATTAATTTATACTGATATTTTGAACCAGTATAAAAAATACAATTAATGTAAATTATTGTTTAACAATCATTATTATTTTGACTATGCAACTAATATATATTAATTTAATTATTTTAACAGTGTTTAATATCACCATTCACCAGTATAACAACAAATGTAAAATAATTAAAACTATAAGAATATATTGATAAACATATTTTAATTTATACACATTTCATAATTATATTATAATAGTTATAACACATTATCAAATTAATAATCTAATCAATAATAAAATAAATAACAACTTTTAACTATTGAGGTATAATAATAATAATAAAAAAAAAAACTACAAATATAACATTATATAAATATATTGCATATATAATGTGTTAGTATATGATAATGATTTGTTTAAGATGTTTATCAAGTTATTAAAATATTTACTAAAAGTTTGTTTAAATACGTTAATAAGTTCATTTATATTTTTTTTCTAATTTACTGTTATAATTTTATATCATTATTGACTAATGTCAATTAAATTAAAAAATAAAATGTTCAAAACCCTATTATCATTTATTCAGAATTTATGTTATACCTCATGCCCTCGTCGTATTACTATAGTATATATAACATTTAAAACAAATAATAATAATAATACGCAATTTTTTCGTCCCGGCGCAAAAACACATTTAAACGATTAAAAGGTTAGGTCAAGTTAAATAGCATAATTCATATATTCGAAACATTGAAGGTTTTGAACGTTTAAAGTCAATAAACGATCGAAATATTTCCGGTGTCAAATTTCCTCCAGTGCCAATTACGTTTTACGTCCAACAAATGTTCGCCACGGCACGGCCTCCGACTTTGTTATATTATGTAATATTATTATTAAAAAAAAAAAAAAATGTACGAAAATGGTAACACTTAACACCTTAAAAATTCGGTGAGACGGTGACGGTCAAACGACACCGACCGCGGTACAAAGACGACGCATGGTATGTCGTAACTCGCAATCACCCAACACGCGTATTTTAAAAAGCCCGTCTCGCGTGTAGCATTTTGTATTTATTTTTTATTTTTTTGTGTTTTGCAGAGCTATTCACAGACGAACGTGGGATGGAAAATCCACGTGGTCGACCCCGGCTACAAGTGGAACGACGACAAGGACGCCGCGGCCAGCCTGCACAGCGATCTGCCGTTGACGTGCGCAATATTGATCACCGTTGTTGCCGTCCAGTGGATTTTCACTATTAGTTTACTGTGATGCGCGCAATCCGGTAAACAATACGAACGGATTGCGATGATGGCGGCGGCGGCGGTGGTGTAATCACAACAACAACAACAATAACAACACTCTAACGATAACGGTTATAATACGCATTACCTACATAGTAACACCGATGAACGCGTCTCGACGTTCACCGCCACTGCCGCCGCCGCCGTTAGTCGTCGACGGCCACACCACGACCATCCGCCGAACGCCGGCCACGCACAAATGTTTGCCCACCGCGACAGTAATAATATCGTTACCGGTCGCATAGGTTACATACATAATATAATATGATATCAACTCGAAAAATTCGGACGACTTTTTCCACCGTCCCTATCGGCACGCCACGTCGTACCTCGATAGGCTCTGCGCGGTGTACCCATCACCGTTCTGCCCGGTTTATCGTGCGCCAAATGATTTGTTACTGTCGTGTGATAGATACATTTTCAACGGAAATTCAAACTTTTCGTATCCGGCATTCGGGTTAAACCGTCGACGAATGTTTAATTAATATTTCGTTACAGCTACCCACATGTAGGACAGCACATCCAATGCGCGCGTTCTCCCGATCGCTGTTGCATAGTGCATACACCTATATCGTGTGCGTTTCGTTTTTACGCCCGTGACTTGTGAGTTGAAACGCCGCAGTCCAACATGACTGTCGTTCTAATAATTGCACACGTCCTTAATCTGACTTTGAAACATCTGACCGAAGATAGTAAAACTCAATAGGTACCTTTGATTCCGTAACAATAAAATTAAACCGTTGAAAATAATAAACGCGTGAGTTTGTTCAATTTTCAATTTTTCGTAATTAAAAAAAAAAAAAAAAAATCTAAAAAAATCTTAGGCTATGTTACTTTGAAATAATATCATAAGAATCGTTCACAATACGATTTAATATATTATAATCATAAAAAATATAATAATATTATAACTCATATAGGTATTAAACTATTTTCATTAATAACCACAATTTGGAATATTTTCGATCAAAAATAGTTAATAATTTACTTTTGGAATGGTGAACATTAATATCATTATTTACTATATAGGAAAGACTGAGGGTGAGTTGCGGCCCGACTTGACGTTGATGACCGGTAAATTGCAGCCCAGTAATATTATAGGTATAGGTTAGTTGCGACCCAACAATATCTTAGCTACAGATGAGTTATGGTCCGAGTAATTATCATTGCCTAAGTTATATATACATAACTATAAATAAAAGGTTCGTTATGTGTATGGAAAGTTATATTTTTATATAATATAGATCAGTGATTCCTAACCTTTTTGCTACTACAGACAACTTTGAGAACTTTCGATACAGCACGAACCACCTCAATGAGAATCAATTTTTTTCACACATTTTAAAATTTAGATTATGAATAAATATAAACAATGAAATTCCTTACAACAGTTTTTAATGTTTATAATTGATTATGTTTTATTAAAGCTTAAAATAATTAACAATTTAACCGCAAATTACTATTCTAAAAATATGTACATTATAATATTACATTTATTTAAGGTTATATTATTATCATTAGATTAAATTATTAATAAAATTTTAAATTAAAATTAATAAATTAGTGGTTTACTGATATACCTACATTTATACTTAAATTAAATTTAAAAATTTGTTATCTTTTGTTAGATTTAATAAAACAAAACTAAAATAACTACGACAACACATGCATGTCGGCATAATGACTTGGTAGCATATACTAGCAAATTATTATATTATATTATATTAATTAATAATTATAATAATTGTCATGATATTTATGTTGAGATCTTACAATTATACACCCACCCGAACTTAGCTACTAACCCATCTATTTCAGACATGAAGCAATTGCTTTAAATAATATTACATCCTACTGCCATGTATATATTACATATATATAATATGTAATATTTATACATTATTGTATGGCCGAAATTCGTATGTACCTCTCATAAATCCGGGCCGCAACTCGTACGTTATTTTGGGATTGAGCTGCAACTCACCAACACCGACAGGAAAAACACTTATTAAATTAGCAGATACACTGAATGTCTAAATGTTTTTCGCATTTGACATGCAGGCGACAACGGCTTCAGTTGAACAAAATCAGATAACAACATTTCTATAAACAAATTTATGTTTACGTAATCCTGTTAAATTCAAGTGGTTTTACATGTTTATTATTGTTTTTACAATCGTCTGTCACTATACAACAATAATATTGTTTTAATCGATCCAAACATTTTTACGAGCAATTATTTGAATTATTATAAAGTTATAAATGTTATTATAACGATAATATACCAAGAACATAAACGTAATGGCGGCGTACAACGAACACACTAAACGTAAAACGAAAATGCAATTTACTCAACATTAAGAATATCAAGCAAAACCAAACATATCATTTGTATAATATCAATTATGCACATAGTAAACTAATAATTGAGTGGATTTTTGCTGTAGACGTTAAGGCATATTTATAATTTAAAACTATTACGCACGTTTAACGGTAGATTGTTGTAAGTAGAAATATTATTTAGTATACTGTTGTAGACTTAGTGCAGTTAAGTCATAAATTTAATATTGTATATTAAGCTACATTGCAGGCAATTATTTTCTCTCAATAACCAATACCCATAAGCATATAAAAAGAGACCCTCTCGTCGTTGTTGTTTAAGAATAATAGACAATATCATAGTTAAAATGGTAGTTATATTTTCGGAATATCTCACTTCATTCGCTCGGCAAATAAAAATAGTAGCTAAAAATCTACATGAAGAGTTTCAAAAAAAGTCAAAACAAATAATTAAATATTAAATAATTTCAAATTAAACCATAACCACGTCATCTATATTATCATAGCACATAAAAACGATAATATCGGGCGTCTTATTTGTACAATTTTTCGTCGATGTTCGTGTAAAATATTTAAATCACATTATTAACTCTTAATAAAGTAGTTAACTTCATAATTACTTCAATAAACAATAAAAATAAATAAATATTATTCCACCCCTACCATAAAAAAACACTTAACTTGTTATAAACACGGCACGAGACGGGTGTACCGGTGTACTTATAAAGCGAGTAAGCGATAGCTAACTCTTCACTTTACAAATGTTTCCAAAATATAAGAGTTTTGGGCTTGTTATAATAAAGAACTTGCACGTTATAAAACTAATGGATGCTGGAATTTTATAGGAGAAATACGTTATATTGTTAATTCAAAAAGAATCGCGGGGATTTTTAAACATCGTTGAAACTAATACCAAAGTCGTAAAACGCATAGCACAAAATTGTAAACGGATTCGCACACCTTTGAAGTTGAAAAATAATAATAAAATTTAATAATAATTATTCCTAAATGTCACGACGTAAAATATACAGCTCCAAACAGTTCGTATACAAAAATACATAATATATTATACTCGTACACAAATCGCTCCAAAGTTTGAAAATAGTTTAATTACTTACATCGATTCAACTATGAATAATTATAAAAATTATTTACGATTTTAAGTATTAATAAATTTGATTGTCGTCGATTCCATCTTTCATCATTAATAATTATTTCAACCACATATGCGCACACTATTTAGTATTTATAATACATAGGTAATCTATAATAATGTAATTAACTATCATATTTTAATAGTTACGATTCACGAGTACCAGTGTATTAGTCGGTTAATCAAATTTTTAAACAATATTGCTCAAAATATATTATTATATCGTATAAAATTATACTATTTACAAGAGGAACCGATTCTTGAGTTAAATACGTGGACACGCCCAAGCCGTTGCTATGATTATTATTTAATATACTTATTAATAATAATATTAGTCAAATCATCCGATATCTTCGAGAATTCCATACTATAATATAAGTGTTTAATATTATATTATATTATAATCAAAACGTTTAAACTTTAAACCAATAAACCGATGTTGATACAAAATGACAATAATATTTTTTAGATTTTAGTCGATTAAATTTTAAGGAATCTTTAACTTTAATTAATAAGTAATTATTGACAATAAAATATGTTATAAGTGGTTATTACGTTAAAAATATTCTGTTAATCGTTTTTGTATGATTTAAAAAAAAATAATGTTTATATAATTTATAAATAACTATTAAATTGAGTGTTGTATATGTATACAATGTCATAAATTAATATAAAATACATTTTAATAATAGTATGTACTACATTTCTCTCGTCAAGTAGTAAATGATTAATAAGATTTTATTTTTTATTTGATTTTCTTCTTGACGACATAAACCGTATAGTAATTAGTTTAGTGGCTATAAGTGCATCACCAATACTTTTGCTAGTTGTTATAATTTAATAATATAAAACGTAATATTTTGATATACGTGTTACACAAAACTATTAAATGGTTATTTTTTGATAAATTATACTTTTCTGTCAAATAGTATGTAAGAAAAGTTAAATTCAACAGTCATAAATAATGATTCTAATTAATAAGCTTATTTAGCGAATAATTTTTACATGTTCTATAGTTTTTAATATACACAATTTATTTTCTTTGTATTTGAAAGTGAAGTACTCAAGTACAATAATTAATTGTCCTTGATAAGCAAAATAAATCGTAAACTTTTAAAATAATAAAAAAATAAATATCATATAACTCGCCCACAAGAATAGTTATCTAAACGACCGTCTATCACATGGTTCTTACTTCTTGGACTATGATGAATATGATATTATATGGATAATAAATTCTAAAAGATAAATAAATTTTTTTTTTCTTTAGTGGAATGCATTACACATAAAATTGTTTAACTGTAAGAATTATATGCAATGTAGTACCTAACGTAGTGTATAATATTATAATTTATCCATCTCAAATTTCGTACTAAATCCGTTATTTACTAATAATTTGTTTAATTGTTTTGTTTACAATTCTTATAATTTTGTTTTGCTTCTGACGAGAGTATGTTAAAAGTTTAATCAGTTATATTATATATTATGTGTTTTAGTTTTAAGCGTAATACTGTAATGTACCTATCTTAAGTCTTATTACTACATATTATATTTAAGGAAAGTTATATATAAGCAATGAGCATTATTTCAACGATACCGGGAAATATATTCTTTTTATAAATGTGTATACATTTAGTGACTAAGAAAATAGTTTTAATCAAACATCGAAAAAAAATGATACAATAATAAATATTTTATGCAGGAAAACGTGTTAGTCAATAACAAATTTTCGTTAAACCCACACATAAATCGTATAATATAATAAAATAAATCTATTTCCCGTGTACCTTTATTAATGTATAATAATATATATTATATACTTAAGTATTTCATGTAATATTTTATAAGAATAAGAAACAAATCTGTGTTTTTGGTGACAATAATTATCACATTATTAAATTTTTTTTTATTATTATTGTTGTTCTTTAGTATTAACGAACACAAGTCAAACTTGAATTTTATGTAAACCTCGACAATAACTGTTTTAGACAATTAATAAATTATAATAATTTAGGTTAAACTTTAATCTAAATGATATATATATATATATATATGTATGTATTAATTGCTTGAAAGAATTTTTTTATTTAAAAAAATAATGTGTCATTTATACGATTAATTACATTAATTGCATTTATAGGCTGTATAAGTATTTATAAGAAACAGTAGATAGAGAGACATAGGTTGTTGTAAAAATATTCTTTTTTATACACTTTAAAGTAAATTGTGTAAAACAAATATGTTACAGATACGGTAAATTGAGTAACAGAGATTTAATATAATATATATTTATATA